CTCTAAACACATCATGACTAGAATTGTAGAATGTAATTTAACATTAAACAATAATTGTCACACTAGAAATAATCAGTTAATTTTGACAGCTTGGTATTTGAAAATATATCATTCAAATTGATTAAATACCTTTCACTACATTCTTGTGAATGACCTATTTAACATCAAAGTAATAAACAATTAGTTTAGTAGTCGTTCCAATTATATTCGGGTGTAACCATTCAGTAATCCATGCAGACTACAATTATTCCATCGAAAATATTGTATATCATGTAGTTAATTTTCCTGAACGCCTTCTCACCTATCCATATTAATGCACATTCACTGCACTCATTAATCATTTAGTGATTATCCAAATAATCCCTTTTCATACCAAGTGCTTTTTCTACCATTTAACATGGTTGTGTTCTTAGTTTAATCACCGTAATCCAACCATCAATATATCTTTTAGAAAGTGTTTGTCGTTATGGTAGAAATGCATCTAGAATGATAAACGAGATACGTTGTAAGAGTCATCAAAGTCCTACGATGTTTCGACTTGTACAAATGATTGGTCACAAATTAGTGAACAATGTGATATTCGTCTCACCATTTAGTACAGGTACAGTTCCGTCACTCAAGTTGTAATGTGGTTACTGGTTTAATTGACTGAAGATCACGTTTACCATGTTGAGTTGTCAGGTGGTTTAAGTTAGTAGGCAGGAAACGATTGATCTAGTTCCGATATCAGTTCACACTTATCGACAAATCACACGTGAACTCTTGAGTGGATGGGTTCTCCATATGATATTCGAATGCGCATCACTACATTATTCTTGTTGTATCGAACATTTTACACTGGTATCAAAACCATGGATGTTAACACGCTCAATACATCAATTCACCGTCTATATATAAGCCACTCACTGACCAATCCATTGATTATTGTTCACATTATTGTCTTGAAATCCCATCCTTCATGGATAGCGATAATATAACTCAGCAATGGTTATCTAACTCATGTCGACTCGCTGTCTTAAAAACACTCAGTTATCTCCACAAGCCATTTGTACAGATAAATGTTATAACTACGAACTGATTTGCTCATACGTTTACGAAGATCTCGTGTAGTGGTGAGATGTTCATACCGATTCATCATATCATATCATATCATGTCAAAAATGTGAAAACGATTGATTTTAATGCAGTCCACTTCCTGCTTGTAACTGTCAAATTCAAATATTTATAGTAACCAGTGCTCGTTAAAGCAGTAATGTCTGTCGAAGTTGGAAATTTCATTGCATAACATTCTGACATTCTGAGTGATATGTGCTGAAATCGTGTTTCGGATTTCACAGATTAACATATTAATATTGAAGCATTTGATGAGTTTCACTCTGAATAGAACGCTCAATCTAGACTGAACCGTTGTTCACTGTCAAGATTACGACCATTAAAACTGTAACTAGATTAAAAATGGTGGATGCAATTTCAACAATCATTGGGTTGTGTTGGTAACGTCGGCAATAGTTCAAAGAAGAGACAACGAATGAACTAGCCAGTAACATATCATTCTCAAAACACCAAATAATTCAAACGAAATTTGGCAACTCAAAGGTTTATAGTAGGTAAAGATGCAAGAATGTTTAAAGTATAATCAATGAGTGAATAGCTCACACGAATAACGTATGCACCAATATCTATTAAGTTTGGGTCATTCTGATTAGCCATAATTACACAATTTCGATAGGCTATATTCTCTTGACAAATACGCTTTCTCAACTAGTCCGTATTGTTCTTGTAATCAGTGAAGATGACTGACTGAATCCTATATGAATACTTTCAATCAGTGATCAAAGACTATTATTTTAGCATGGAATCGAAGTATACCTGTGTAAAATAATGCAATGTGTTTGCGTTTCCTCCAATACATAATTTTCTCACTCATTGTTGTTGGTTGATTTTACTTTAAACATTACAAAACTGTTAAAACTCACGTTTTAACGTGAGATCATAATTGCATCCAGTGTGATGTTTAGTCAGTGAAACATTCGTTCGCATTAATTCAGTATAATATTCATTCAGTGTAACCGACCAAACCTCGTCTTGTGTTGTTACAGTGCCATTCTATATCAGATTTCATACTATCTCAGTTACTTAAGATACTTCTTGACTAATCATCCGATGTAGATAAAATCTAGATACAGATGAGTGTATTTGTGTGAAGTGATTGCTGAATTTTTGGAGAGTGAAAGGAATCTCCATCAACGCCCGATCCGGATTACAATTATGTCTGTTAAACTATATCATTTAGATTGTAGAAATCCCTAACAACATGACAATCTTTTTGAACGTAGTGTTAATATATTTGAATTTTATTTGCACTCAATTTTTAAGGATAGGAAAATGTGTACTTTATCGGGAATAAACTTTCGCGAAAATGTCTTGTCAGATAGCAACGAGGAGCGAAGAAAGGAATCATAATGTTCTCAAAAGCAGTGAAGGTACACAATGAACAAGTGCTTGCGTGACTTTTGTATACATTCTAGCATTTCGATGCTGTTCATGATATTCGGTAGTATGGATATGTTTCACAAATAAATTTATTAGGATGACCGTTTTTAATTTACATGCACACTTTTCTATATTTAGATTGTCTTTTAACTGATGTTTTATTCCTAGCAAATGCTAAGTGCATGATATGTTATCTACAGGGGACATTATGCAAACGCCGTTTTCCGATTACGTGGTCTTAATTGAATCTTCCAAATACTAACCTGCGTAGAAATTTACTAATTGTGTACTGGATATACATAACGGTTGGACATGTCTTGATGTGACAGAATCATTACTATAGTGTTTAACATAGAGAAAGCAAGATTTGCTGTCTGTTTATTTCTTCCATTATTGATAGTCCCAATAAATACGTCTGTGTTTGAGTATGTTGATTACTAGCTGACAATGATGTACTCATTGCTTTTTGGGCACCCCAACAAAACTTCAGTATGATATTCATTCATTGTAACCGACCAAACCTCGTCTTGTGCTGTTGCAGTGCCATTCTATATCAGGATTCTTACTATCTCAGTTACTTATTATATACAAATTCCCGACGTTTTTGTGTTCTATAAGAATTGTTCAGTCTGGTAATTATTGGGACTAATTATGACAGAATGCACTTTGTAAATGACAGGATGAACTCGCACGTAATTGAGTGGTCGGTGGAGTTTGTGTAACAAATCGTCTTCACAAGGTTTGTGCATTGAAGAATCGATAGAGCACCACTTACGTACTTACTTACTTACTTGCTTACGCCTGTTACTCGCAATGGAGCATAGGCCGCAGACCAGCATTCTCCAACCCACTCTATCCTGTGCCTTCCTTTAGAATTCTGTTCAATTTTTGTTAATTTCCAACATGTCTATCTCCATTTCTCGGCGTAATGTGTTCTTTGATCTTCCTCTTCTCCTTTGGCCTTGAGGATTCCATGTGAGGGCTTGTCTTGTGACACAGTTGGGTGCTTTCCTCAATGTGTGTCCTATCCACTTCCAGCGCTTCTTCCTGATTTCTTCCTCCTCTGGGATCTAGTTTCTTCTCTCTTACAGTAGGTTGTTGCAGATGGTGTCTGGTCAACGGATTCGAAGTATTTTGCGTAGACAACTGTTAATAAACACTTGTATCTTCTGGATGATGGCTTTCGAAGTTCTCCAGGTTTCCGCCCCATACAGTAGAACTGTCTTGTCATTTATATTGAAAATCCTGATATTGGTGTTGGTTGACAATTGTTTTGAGTTTCAGACGTTCTTCAGTTGTAAATATGCTGCTCTTGCTTCGCCGATCCACGCGTTCACATCTGCATCAGATCCACCATGTTCATCAATGATGCTGCCCAGCTACGTAAAGGATCTTACATCTTCCAAATCTTCTCCGTCAAGTGTGATTCGATTGTTGCATTCTGTGTTGTATCGGAGAATCTAGCTTTTCTTTTTGTGTATGTTGAGACCTACTGCTGCTGAGGCTGCTGCTACACTGGTCGTCCTTTCCTACATGTGTTGTTGCGTGTGCGATAGGAGGGCCGGATCATCTGCGAAGTCTAGATCGTCCAACTGCATCCTAACTGTCCACTGTCTCCCGTGTTTCCCTTCAGATGTTGATGTCTTCATGATCCAGTCGATCACCAGAAGAAAGAGGAAGGGTGAGAGTAAGCAACCTTGCCTGACACAAGTCTTTACCTCGAACGAGTCTGTCAATTGTCCTCTATGCACGATTTCGCAGTTTAATCCATCATGATAAAGCACCAAGTAGTTTTAAAATGCATCACTTTTGATATTAGATTATACAACCAAGTTATACCACCACCCACCCATATGTCCGAAACAATAAATCTCTATATGGTTGGCAGTATTGAAGTTCTAATTCCATAGCTGACACGACTTCCAAAGAACGTTTAATCGATAGCAGATCCATACTAGTTAATCAATATCACTATTCTACTATTTTGTTCCCGTTACAATCATATACAAAGATATATATCATGGAAAATTATTTATATGGTATGAATATGTACCGATCAATGTTATGTTGAATGAATGAAGTTCCATTGAGAATACTTCCAATCAAGTAAAAACTATAAACATTACATGATCGTTAGTGCAGCTTAAAATGAAATAACTAACAGTAAAAGAAGTATGTTAATGTAAATTTTGTAAGTTATATTTTTATGCATGACACAAAGTCATATGCTAAAGTTTCGATCTCACATACACATCAATATGACAGTTCAACAAATTAAATAAATTGTATACGGTGATGTGTGTGTTGTGATGTGATTAAACTGTGAAGGATTTAAAATAAAATAGTTTGGTGAACACTGGATAAAGTAAACGATAGTTTGACATTTGGGTCGATATATATATATATATATATGCAGTTGGTTAAACAACAATATGGGTAAACAAAATTCAATTACGAATAAATACTCGTTACGTAACTGCAAATATCATAATTTTGTTGATTCAATGTCAATATTTAGGTGTGCGCCAAACTAAATAACACTTTTCTTTCAATCGAAATTGTAGAGATTGTTCAGGTAAATGTGAATACGATATCCAATATGAACCATCGATTATAACAACATGCCATGAAGGGTCGAATGTCTTATCAAGCCATTGTTTTATCATTTGTGTCATATCTTGACCTGATAAATTTTTATCTAACAGTGATCGAACAAATTCAAATATTTGGAATTGATCTTCTGGTGACATATTTTGGGAGATTATTTGTAAATCTTTCGGCAGTGGTCGGTTATTGACAACACTCTTCCGAAGAGTACGTCTGAAAAAAAATGATAAAATGATGAATTACAATTTATAATTGTTTGACAGACAGTATTTTGTTGTTTGAGAGAACGAATCCTGAACCAACTCTACTCGTATATGAAGATCCACTTTCCAATGTCGAATATGATGTGGGTTTAAGAGTTATTGGGCAGCAGGTTCCCATTTGATACTTAGCTCAGTAATATATTCGTAGTTCACTTTAAATTATCCCTCACATGGAAATCCTGTCGATGAATGCATATGGTAAATTGAAGCTTTGTTTTCATGTTTAGGTGACTCCTAATACAACTCAATATTAGTCGGGAAAGCAGCTGAATAAACAAGAGGGATAAGTTGACACAATGCTAGGAGCGAAGAAGTTTTCACGATGAAAAAGACACATCGTGGTTTATACTTTAATATTATTTGCTCTATAACACCAATTTCTCAGATTTTGTTGAGGTGGCTCACAGTTTCGCGGCTTTAAGTTTAGGCTGCTTTCACTTCTAATCAGTCAAGTGGCGGTGATTAGCTCTAGTTAATTTTGTAATTTGTTGAACATGTTTATGGACTTGCATTTTATGTCATGTTACATGTATTGTTCACAAATTTCATCTGGACTTAATAAAAAGAAGAGAAATATTCTCATCACTAAATGTACTACACACAGAATCAAACATTTCAAATAACTAGTTTAATATACTTTGAACTGTATCCCTTCAAGTAAGTTCTTGTTAAAACTAGACGTAAGAAAATCCAAAATGACTAAACTCACGCTTGTTCCGGTTTTACACCGAGGACATCACAAAATTTTTGAAATGTTATAATACCAGTATTTGTTGGATCAAATAATGCTTGCCATCTCTGTTTGATTAAAATTTACAAAGGGGGAAAGAAAAGTACAAATAATTACATAAGATAATTAAACCATCACATTTTGCACATTCATGAATTTTCGTTTGAGACGTAAGAGTACTGTACATGCGATAATGTGTCAAGGGTTTATTTTATCCAAAGTTAACACAATTGGGTTTAAAACACCTGAGAACTTAACATATTGTGTATTATGATTAGAAAATTTTAAAGTTAAAATATCCCTTTTAAAATGATTGAATTTTTTTGTGTTAAAGTTTTTCCTATTTACACTTTCCTATGAACAATTTAACTGTTATTTTTCTTTGTAGGAATTTGTTACTATGTAAATATTGCATCAAATCTATTCATTTATACAATGATAATGGATACCTTCCTGAATTTTATTTATTCTAATACATATTATTATTATTATTATTATTATTATTACAAATGAAATTGCTCCAAATGTTTAGTAACAGAAATGTTCGATAACAGATTCACATAAAAATGAATATGACATCACAGTAACTATTTAATTTATTATTATCTCTAAACCATTTCAATCATTTGTTAATACCAGCTTTTGAGGTTAATTGTGTTATTCCTCAATCTTTAAGTAAATAAATAAGACAGTATTAATTTCAAGACAGTTTTGCCTTTTGGCGAACAACTATATTTTCTCCATGAGTGTCTTCGCCAACAGTTTTGCCTTTTGTTATATACATAAAAAACAATATACCTGAAGGTGTATATTTTAGCCATATATTGGATAGCCATAATGCAACAAGTAGGTTTATTATAGGGATTACTGTCAGTGTTAAGAGAATGCTTATGATATAATTATTATTCATTATTTTGCAAGAGGATAAATCTTACATAATGAAATTTAAGGTAAATATTTAATTTCAAAACAAGATCAACACTTACATATTATGATAAATCATCTAAAACTGAATAAACCATAATGAATAAGCTAAACGCTTTAATTGAGTACAACAGTACTTCTTCAAACACTGTTTTACCTAGCAAATCTTTAATGATTCTTTGATAACGTTATCAAAGTTTTTTCTACTTGTCTTCCTCGTTTAGGGACATCCTTGTTTATGACAGTGCTATATACTTTCAATTATTCCGCTACTTATACATGAAACCTTATTCTGAATGAGGATATAATTCTGATGTTCTGAACTTATAAAACTTAAGAAACTTCATCAACATCAGTATATATATAATTGCAAACAACAATAACAATTTACATTGTGCTGTAAGACTTGTTTTTCAATATTCCATGTTGTCGAAAAAGACCTATACAACTGAGCTACCATGCTCACTGAATTTAATACTACTAGAATATTTGCATTTTACGCTTAACTAAATTCTATTCTTGGTAAAAATGTCTAAGTTGTGGTTTAGAAATATCCAATCATATATTATATACGTAAGTAATGATAGTTTGAGAATATCTTTATAACCTTATCACTTCATGAATCTATTCTGCAAAGTTATATAATACTATTGACTGTGAAATATTCCACTATTCTACAGATATAGCTTGAACTAGTTTCTTGACAATTTAAAAATTAAGTATTTTCAAAACATTAATTATTAAAAAAAAACAATTTTTTTTAGAAAACAAATTATCTACCGTTATCATCCCTTCATCTAAATGATTGTGCTTTACATAACGTCTCAATTCATCTCTTGTAATTGTCTCATTTTGTTGCTCATCTATCGCAAAAAATATATTAACAAATGGTTCCATTGAAGTTCGAAATGTGCATCAATTGTATATAATAGCTATATATATATATATCAAAACTAACGCTTTCACTGATTCGCAACTTACATTCTCTCGGTTATCGATTAACTTGAAACATATTCAACATGTAAGTATCATTTACATATGAATGTAATATTTAATAGAAAATTAAAAAGTAACCAATTGTGAAACATACATGTGCACATTACCGAATACTTTTGTTTAATCATTGTACCTAATCATTAATCACAAGAATGAGTTGATAAGAATGAGTATTCAAAAGGGAGATTTATTTTGATGTGTACATGTGTGTAAATTGGGAGAAATTTTATAAATGACTTTCGAAGGATTTTATTATGAAATAAATTAATTTGACTGTTGGGTTTGTTTTTTATCTTTCAAGAAGAAAATCCATTCAGTATACGTTTATCATTATTATTAGCTTTATTCAATATTGTATTGTTGATACAAGATAGAATTATCAGCGCACAGTATTTCAACAAGTTTCCGTATAGTATTTCTTGATCTACCAATTAGACGTTAGCAGTTCAAGAATTGACATTTGAATAATGTACATTCTTTATGATGTATAATGCCAGTAACCACAATGTCGCTGATTGTGTTCTTCCCTAATTTGTACAGCAAAAGGTTGTGAACTTTTCACAAACGCACCTGAATAGGTTGCACAATTAATTGACATTGTCATCCGTTGAAACATACAAAAGACAGATAACTTTATGATATTTCAATTATTCTGTTTACATTGCACAAACTTGTGTAACTTTTTAAACCTACTTGTCTCATCACAAAAACTGTAGCATTATATAAATTGCTTCTAATCCGCTTTTAATAATAAAAGTCAAATCTTTCACACTACAGAATGATATCACTTAAAGAGCCATTGTAAATCAGGGAGTAATGGACAACTTTTGAGTAATATGTGCGTATCTACTAATTCACTAAACCTACAAACTTCCAGTCTACAAGTCAGTATGATCAAATCGCTAGTATTTCTGACATTATACGCCGGAAAAGCAAGTAAAGTAATCATCATTATCTATTATAAATTGTCATAATCTTCCGTGTGACTTACTGAAGTTTAAAATAACGATACGCTAATATCAGCTTAGAAAACCCGGACGAAGATTTTACATTATTTATCAAGTCCTCAATAATCCGTTCTGGAGTCATTTAAAGTTGATCCTAAGACTGGCTATAGTAACATTATAGTGACAAAAAATCTTGTATGGGAGCTTTCAACAAACTTCCTATAAAATTAATTATATGCTTGGGAAACAAATATATGTATTTGTTTTATTATTTGTCAAATAAAGCAAACTGTATGCCATATCTGTTCGGATGAGATAAATAAGCAAGATTACATTTCTACTCAAAGTGTCAATTAATCAGCATTACTTATGTTTTAATTTGGTATGATAATTGGAGAGTGAACATAATCTTCATCTGCCCTCTTCCTTGGGTTGTTCAAATCACATTTCTCCTTTAGTTATGACAGACGATGTTCGGAAGCCGATACTGATATACTATGTGCTCAACTCACTACTTGGGTGAGAACACAGTAGTGAGCGAGAAGAAATATTGGGCTATCAAATAAATGCACAAATACTCATTTATATCTGTACAACTCTACCCCTTTGGAAATTAATCCATTTTTAGACAATCAAATGCACTTGAACATCAGGTCACTTGTGATTGTTATCAACTGATCTCATTAGGCTAATTTTGATAGGCTCATCATACCACCTCTGTTTACAAAGCGGGTTTTCATAGTTATAATAAGATCACGATATCGAAACTGTTCACCTATACTTTAGCAAGTGTTTGTAAAAATCACTGATATATCAAATGACACAATCAATGTAGATCCTAAACTTTTATTTAGTAACCTAAGATATTTAACCTGAAGTAATTGTCATCAAATGATGAAGGTTTTAAAAAAGGAGAATCTGTTGAGATCCCTCGATAATTCAAAAAGATGTTCATAAGCTAGAAAATGTACACGATTTTCTGCTCATTCAGCTTACCCTACAAAAGCTGATAACATCTCATCCTGTTAGAATGTTTTACAGCGATTTCTAGGGAAATGACAGATTATCAGTGTTGATTACTTTCTCTGTCACTTAATTTACTAATTTTCCAGAAGTTTCTTGAGTTTAACGGTATCCCTAAACCCACAGATAAGTTTGGTTTCTGAAGATGAATGAACCTTGAGAGCCTGGCTGGAATCGATTCATGGGGTTTAATTGACTTAAATGGATGTTGTTCTTTGTTAATAATACATTAGCTGATATTCTTTAGACTGTTTAGAAAAATGCTCCTTAGAGTTTTAAAAACATATCTAGAGAAAATATCTGTCCGGATAATTTAAGCAATTAATTAGTAGTTCTTGGTTTATGGAGCGTTGTTGGTCATGTTCCTCCTCAACAAGATGATGCTGGCCTACGATGTCAGTGAGACTCCTGCTAAACGAATACTTTATTATATGATGCAAAATGGTATATTCTTAAATTTTAATTATATGAGATAACTTTTCATTAATAGAAGAAAAATAAACGTTTTTTACCGGTTTAAAGTTATATAGTCTATTGAATTTTATTGAGATCACAAACCGATCTAAGCTGTACGATAATTGAAAACCTAGAGGTACTGTACTAGTGTTTTATCGTACAATATGGAACTCTTCGACAGAGCGTACTTGTAACCTCGCTCCTGGAAGTCAAACCTAGGGTGTTTGGTCTTTCAAAGCGGTATTTCAGTTTCCTCAGGTTTCCAGTGGTTCATGATCTTAACAAACCGTTTAATTATTTGTAACAAAAGCTTATGAAGATTGTTGAATTTTGTAGTTTACATATTTGGATAATCTTCATTAGAAAATCACTGACGACCAGGAAGAACCGGATATCTATTATTTTCAAATATGTAACGCTTCCTCAGTCGAGTTTCATGCCGTTTCCATGTATTGAACCATTACCTCTCAGGTTTCGATAAGTTCACTTAACCAACAGTCTACTTATCTAGCATACAGTGGTAGATCATTGTTACTAACATTTTTTTAAAAATAATTGTAACATGAACATAGAAATAATAGATTGCAAACTTGATAATTCTTGATTGTTCGCGAAGCGAGATTGCTAAAATTTCTTCAGGATACGTAATAAATTTACTCTTTTCTTTACATTTTTTCTTTACTCACATTTCATTAATGTTACCCTACTCTACTTACTTATATTAAGTAGTCACAGTAATTTTCAAGAAATTGCATGGCAGTGCATATCTAAACTAATCGTAAAATTTGAAGGAGCAATATTTTTACTTTGTCAGCTTTAAACTACTACTCAGTAGTGTTCAAACATAACATAAATATTCCTTGAGAAGACATGCACTTGTTTCTAGATAAGTAGTTTCAGTGACAAACGTCCCGACGCACATATTTCTAAGAAGTGTTTTCAACACGTTTCTTGGAATCGAAGTTTACAATATTCATGTACGACGACAGCAGTCATCTTTGATTTGTTTAATCCCATCTCACTTTATTTATATATGATGTGTTTCTACTACTGATAACCACGAAATGGCTGATACTCGCTTTTGTCAGTGTTTCTGACAGATAACGGATCTAAATTTGAAAAAACGATTTTAAGAATCCCTTTAGGCGTTCAACTACTAACCAGTTGATAATTTTTTCTCAGCGAGCAGAACAGTAGATTGATAATAGAGGTAAAATATTTATCAAAGTCATAAAGGCTACCAATAACCGACAAAGAAGGTCAACTAAAAACCACAGTGGGTTATCTGCACATTCGTCTTAGTACGTTAGTCAACTGATATCAATTAGACTGACTGATATATTAGCAAAATTCGGTGATGAATACCCTTCCTTTCTGTACCTATTTCATTCATGATAAAATAACTTTAAGAGCTATGTCCAATCTCACTTTCTATGGACTAATCGCACATCTTCAACTAGACCTATGGAGTTCAAATTAGCAGACGAAAGCTCTATTTTCTGTGACAGAGCCCGAAGAAATAAACTGATTTTGATCGACTTGAAATATAATGTAAACATGTGTATGACATTACACATAATGACAAACGTTTTCTTCGAAAGTGATTTGTATGAATTTTTCGTCTAACAAAACGTTACATAGTCAAGTGAATAGAATAGTTCACTGACGACATCATGAATACAAACGCTTGCTTGGCTTCTGTAAACTCGCACAACATGTAAAATGGTCATGATGTCAGTCCTGTTTTCAGCGAGTGGATATACCACTTCACAGTTCCTCTGTACTGGATAACGCTTTGGAAACAGGGTTTTCGGGAAAATATAATTTATGTAAGTTGATATTACTTAAGAACAGAAAACTTTAAACCATCGCTTAACAGTGGTAGTGTAGTGAACAGAACACAGGTGAGGACAATCGAATGTATTCAACACAAAATTACAGGAATTATTAATAAAATCTAACAATCATAAAGGTAAATGCTTAATTTGCAAAATGTCCATCAATTGTCTCATAATGACTCAGACTTCATTGTTCTTGCATATTCATACAAATTGCATTTTGTTTCCATTCTTTACTGTTCGATCCTCTTGTCTCTCTGCTTCCAGACCTTCTGTTTATGACTACCATCATATACTACTTGTGTCAATATAAGTAGCACACAACACAGTAAAAGCACTGAATGATCGATGTTGAAGTTAAGAGGACAGATCCGAGCATATTCGATTGGTCACTTAATGAGACCTCTAACAGTCATAGATTAAACTGAACATGACATATGGTTAGTCCATCTAGCGAACGTGCAATACAGGCTTTTGTAATAGAAAGTTAAACATAAGTCAAGAGATGTCGCATTTAGACATGATATTACTTCGCAAATCAGTGGTTGAAGGGTTCTGCCATAAAAGGAGTTACAAACTTCTTAGCTATGACCCGAAATTCCATTTCAGTCCTGAAAGGACGAAGTCATAAACAGGG